AGCATTCCCTGTTCCCTAAGTATCTAGCACAGTGTCTGCCATACAGAATAATGCAAAAATAAACAAAAAGCATCCACTATCTTTCAAAAAAAAAAATCTGAGACAATATAACCCAAATAGGAGAGCAATAACCTCATCCTAGGATTTTATATAAGATGTACAGCAGTTACTCTGCTGCGGCATGTCCCATGGTGTTCACTAAATAGAATGTAGCATGTGCAGCTGCATTTAATTGCTAGTTCAAGTTGCCACACATGGCACCCTGTGCTGTTATCACTATGAGTGAGGTTCAGGAGGGTATTTGGTGACTGACCACATGAGCTAGAGACATTTTTGCTTGTTTCCTACAGAAAAACTTCTTCATCACTTTGTAAATGTATCTTAGGAAGACAGACACAGGCCCTGATACATCTCAGAATTAGACTCCATGTAACTTTGGAGGTGGTAATATTGTGCCCTGAGAACTCTCAAAGTAACCTCCATCAGTTCTTGTAAAGGGTCCCCCGTGATCTCACTACTGTGAGTAAGCTGAGGCAAGCCTCTCATACATGTAGGTCCACAAGGGTCTGCTCCTTGCGGACATGTGCACCACATGCAACTCTTGCAGCTGCTTCAAGTCACCCCATGCCTGCAGGGCAAGGAATGTTTCTAAATTGGAAGGGACTCTTCCTGAGGTCCGCACTTACCCTGTGAGGCTTTGCATCATGTCACAGATGTGAGCTGAATGATGTGTATTGGATGAAGCTGAACCAGAAAATACACCCTAGAAGAGCAACCTGCGTATTTCAGCTGCTGATTGCCATTCAGTGCACAGGACAAAGTCTGATACAAACCTCTGAAACATGCAGTGAATGAGGCCACTGGGCTCTCCACACCTGCTGCCCCACTCCTGCTGAGTAGTGCTGCTCAGCTAATGTAAGCACAGCCTGTGAGATCCCACCTGCCGGTGCTGTATGCTCCTCTGCCAGACACACTGGTTCACACTTGGGGATGGGTCAGCAATATAGCAATGTTCAGCATGTCCTGCTGATGTCTATTCACTTTGACAGCTAAAGTGGTGCAAATAATGATACTTGCAGCAGCCACAGATTACCTTATATGCTGTATACAAACAGCATGCCCTAGTTCTTTGCAAATGACCCTTGGACTCTTCCTGCTCCTTCGTGCAGAAGGAAGTCTGTCCGATCAGACACAGGGATGAAGAGGAGAAGGGTGGATGCAAGTGCACTGTTCAGCATACCTCCTTATGCCGAAGTCCTTCCAGATTTCCACTCCTCCTGTGAGAGTGGGGGTACTCAGTTCTTCAGTGATTTTTCTGGGTCTTTCACCCCAGGTATTATTTTCCCTCAAACTCTCAGTGGTGTGGGAGCTCAGGATACTTTTTAATGGCATCTTTAGCACTTGTATTAAGGGACAAAGCCTTCAGCTGTCGCGGCTCAAAAGCCAGGTGGTATACAACAAGGCAGCAGGTTAGAACGTACTGGCTCCGCATCCTTGCCACAGCCGGAGTCAGTGCGGACACACGGTCTTTTCAAACCCTTCCAGTTTCAGCTCGGACGGGTGAGCAGAAGGGCGGGCCCGCTGCGCCTCCGAGCCGCGAACCGGCCGCAGCTCCCGGCACAGCAGCAGCGCGCCCTGCGGCTGTACCCGGCGGCCCCGGCCCCGCCGCCCGGTCCTGGGCCGCCGCAGCCACTCCGGCCAGGGCGCTGCCGCTTCGGGCACTTTGGCGCCCCCTGGCGGCAGCGAGAGGCACCGGCAGGGCTGGGGGCGCGGGTCGGGAGGAGGTGTATGGGCGCACGGCTCCGGGCTCCCACTGCTCTCGGGCTGAACCTGGAATTGTAGAATCCTAGAATCAGTTCGCTTGGAAACGACTTTTAAGATCACCAAGTGCAACCATTACCCCAGCACTGCTAAGACCTCCGCTACACCACATCACTGAAGGTCTCATCCGCAGGGTTTTTGAGCACTTCCAGGGACAGTGACTCCACCACTTCCCTGGGAAACCTGTTTCAATACCCGATGACCCTTCCACCACCCGAACACCGGCCGGGGCAGGGGGGGCGGCCTGGCCCCCTCGGGTCACCACAGGAGGCTTGGGGTCACCACAGAATCCAGGGCACTGTATCCCTGAGCATCCCACGGGGCCCCGGTGCTGCAGGCCTGCCCTGTGCACAAGTAGGGCTCTGGAAAGGAACAAGCCCTACTTACAGATTTATTTTTTTCCCAAGACCCCATTTTTCTAAATCCCGATTCAGTTTAAAAATAACTCTTTGCAGGATCTGAGCACTGCTACTTTTGAACGCTGGCTTGTGCAGGCTTTCTGCTTAGGCATGTGCTGCAGGGACTTGCATAGGAGCATCAGTGACAGAAACAGGTGCCTCTTGTGAAATCACATACAACATTCTGTCACTACAGCTAGAATCTGAGACACATCTAACTATAATAAAGCACTCTTTTGCAGGTTTGCAGTAGTACGGTAGGCAATGTGGGGGAAGGCAATTTTGCCTAAAGAGCACTGGTTTGAATGAAAATTGGATTGAACAAAATGTCAAACACAGTCTTCTGGGTGCTTTGAGGAGTTGAATCAGTGCAATCTAACAGAGCTGTGTCAGTTCACCTTGGCTGAAGGTCTGGCCAAATAGGTTTGTTCTTTCACTCAGCAGAACAGAAAAAGAACATAATGGTGACTGTTGAATTCATGTGATGGTTATACCACTGAGGATACAGTAAGAAAAGCAAAAACCCCCTAAAAATAAAAAGGGTGTCTAAACAGAAAAAAGTATGAGAGTAGAAGGTGGAAGGAAGAAGAGGAAGAAAGCCTTCCCAGAATATATTTCTGTTCTTAAAAATAGTAACTAGCACTCAGTATATCAAGGAAATGTTGTCAGACTGGAGCTTCTCAAATATCTGTGCAACATGAAAAATCTCCTACAGAATTCAGGCAGAATGCATCTGATGGGTCAAGATTTTAATACATCGCTACTTAAATTTATTTGTTCAACCTTTTCTCTAAAAATAAACCCAGGGCTCTTTCAATGAACTTAGTGTCTACAGAAGCAAACTTTAAAACCAATATGAGGTTTGCAGTGCAACCTTCTGGATTTCTCATATTTACTCTGACAGTACATTTTGATGTCATAAAAACGAAGCTATGATTACCCCATGAAACATGCTTCTGCTATGAATATGGGAAGAAAAGGTCAGCACCAAAAGTCTGGTTTCTGACTGAAGGAGTTTTCTTGTTGTTGGGGGAGGGTGATTGGGTAGAAATCTTGACCCTGGTCCTGCAATTGGATCCATCAAGCCTGACCTCTGTGCTCCTGCAGTCCCTGCTGGAGTCAGCAGAACTGTGTGCTAAGTGTGGGGATGTGTCCATGTGGAACTAACTGGGGATTTGGGACTTTCCAGTTTCCTGCTGTGGAGGGAGGATAAGTTCACCTTCGTGTAAATATTGGAAGCAGAGCAAGAGATTTCCATAAGAGAAACACGAATGTATTTTTAGATCTTCTTTTCTCTCAGTCCTGTAGAGATCAAGCTGAACACAGATTGCCTGCCTTTCTCCAACTACACATCTACCTGCTGACACCAGGCCATTGCTGCTGAAAATCAGCGTGCCCCCTATTTCCCTAAAGGGAAAAACCTCACACATAATAACAACTGTCCGGTGGTTGCTACTGCAGTTACTAATACAGGTTTGAGTTGGTTAAATGTTGTGTCCCAAATACAAGCTCTGTCAGTGTTATATCCATCACTGTGTTTGTCAAGTGCTCCTCAAAAGTGCTTTATTTCTTGGCACCTTCTAAATATACAGGACAGGGAGCTCGGTGCGCACCTGAAGCTCCATGCAAGTGGACAATGCTATGAATTCACCTCTCCAACTGAAGCTACGTCTTCTGATTGCTAGTGAGCCTACAAGAATACTCAGTGGCTTCCAGCTGCCAAGTACATCCCAAATAATCTCCCTGTGCTCAACACCAGGATCCTCCAGCCCCCAGGAATGAGATCAGGCACAGATCAATGACAAATGGCAGGAGCTGAGACAGCTGTGTTGGTAAGAGAAAGTTCATGCTTTTGGCAACTGACACCTGCTTTTAGCCATGCTATTCCAGGCCACGAGACTAACAAGCAGGCACACCAGCAGCACACCACTCAGTTACTTTGGATGATGACCATTTCCCTCCAGATCAATTTGCATGTTGCCTGTTCCAGCAGATGTGGGCAATGAGAGCACGTTGGTTTGAGCCATTTGAGGAAAACAGGCAGAACTGAGGGGATCTTGCATAGGGAGATACTGACACAGTTATGCCAGGGCACTTCTAGGCATGCTCAAAAGCAGAATTTGAGGCATATGTTGAAATACAAGATAAAAATGAAAGGACTCATGGCATTCTCATTACTCTGGTGTTCAGACATCTCCTGGGAAAAGGTTTTTGGGACCTTCATTCTGGATTGCAAGATACCAGATCTTATGCCTCTCATCCTTTGTTTTATATGGCTGTAAATCCATTTGTGGGTACAATGCCTGGAACCATGTTATCCTGAAAGTTGAAGTTGAGTAAGAAAGTTCACTGCAGCCCTGGGGTTACCTGCATGCTCTGGGGAACCTACAGCCTGAGCTGTGTGCTAGGACCCACATTCAAATAAGAAGGGACCTCAGGAGGGGTACCACCACTCCCATAGAGTGAGAGTGCAGCAGTGAGAAGCTGCAGTTTCCAAAGTCTTTAAAACTGGTAGTACCATACCCCTCTGTCAAGGCTTCAGAAAGGTCCTATTTGCTTTAGGGACATTAACCTAGTAGTTGTTAGGACTCCTAGTGAGAGACAGTGCTTTGCATCTCATCAAGGTGAGGAAGGCAACTGAGGTCACTGTTTATATTTTCTCTGTTCTGGTTCAAGCAGAGTGCTCAAAAAATGCCATAGGACTGGACTGTACAGGTGGAACAAGCAGAGGAAGTCTAACCTGTAGACTGCACTTATTAATGAATGAGCTGGTCTATGGAATCAGACAGAATTAAGACTTTATAGGCAATTTCATGGATCAGATCCTTGAGCATTTTGAAGTTTCCCAAGCAATCAAGAGGGAAAATGAACCAAGAATAAATCAAGTGTTTTGTAATGATGACGAATGTGCAGGAGCAGTCATGACTTTCCACAAACATCTTGTGCATTCACAGCTCACACCGATCAGCAAATCTGAAAATCAGGCTTCTTGATGGGGAAACCTAATATGTATTTAGATCCCTGAGTTTAATAGCTTTGTTATTAATAATTTTGCTATTAAATAATTAATAGCTCTGCTATTCAATTGCATAGCAAAGGGCTAATGAATTCTGAGAAAAATAAGGAATTGGTTAAATAATCTTCAGTGACACTGAACTGTGTATCAGTAATAAGATTTTGCTCATACTTGCTTATCATGCAAGTGTTTAAAGAAAAGATTCTTGGGGATTAAAAAGCTGGTGTGTCTTAGAATCACTGTCTGCTGTCCATGGTTATTTTATGAAGAGAATGGGTATATTTCCTCATAACGTGGAGGTGACAAGTCACCACAGGCATAGTCTTCTAGCAGTTCCTCTGGCTCATCGGAATGGTTCTCTGACCTAAAAATGGGAAGGGAAGCAAGGCAAAAAAGAATTTAGTAAACATGGAGCATGCAAGTAACCTCAGTGCTGCATTCTGCCTGCCTTATCTGAGCAAAACATCTCCCGACTTCTTGAGAAAATGCTGTGAGATGAAGTTTTACTGGGATTGAACTGTTTGCTTTGTTCTTTTTGTGTCAGGAGGTGACCTTTGTTTTCATGCTGCCCATGCTTGTCACACATAGTGGTGAGAACAATGGGTCAGTCAGCAGTTTTTCAAAGAGACTTCGATAAATGAACTAAAAGTGACTTGTGTTCTAGGAAGGATATAATTCTAGAGTAATTCCTATTATAAGAATATTTTTCCTTAGAGAAATGAACTATATAAAATTATTTAGTGTCTGATTAAAGCAGTTTCGTACTGCTCTGTAATATCAGTGGTCTTGTATATGCCCCAGAACTAGGAAAAAGGTAAGGGCTGGAGGGTTGCTACAGTGGGAAAGGAGCATGTTGTAACCAAGGGTAATAAGAACGAGAACATCTGGTACCAAAATTATTCTTGCACTGTTCTACAAATGCTGTTTGTGCACTGACTTGTGTTGTGATTGAGCGGAAGCCTCTGGTTGTAGATAAAATAACCTTCTGGTCAACAGTCTAAAGGTAGTGAGATAAGCATAACTGCTTCCCCCCAGCCCCTCCCCGCCCCCCCTCCAAACAGGAGCATATATTCTAGTATCTTCAAAAACAACAGATTTAGTAGACTGAAAATTGAAAGTGGTTCATAACTGAATTTAATTTCGATAATAATGCTTTCCAGAAAGAGTATGTCTCCGTAGTCTTTACCCAAGAAATACTTCTAACAAAGAACAAAAACCCAACTGTTTGAAGAAGGATAACACCCTGGTCTACTGTTTTTTTCCTTTGAAACCATACATAGCACTTGAAATAGTCATAAGCTTGTGTCTTAACACACTAAGGCATTTCAGAAGAAGTACCTCTGATCCCTGGTATTCTCTGCAGGATAAGCAGCGTAGTTCTCATCTCCGGTAAAAGCCAGGTTATCCAGGGGGTAGGCAGGGCAGAAGTGAGCAGACCCTGGGCTGGGAATTGATGAGGCACTGGGGGAAACAGCTCCACAGCAGCTGAGCACTGGGTGAAGGTATCCAGGGCTCATAGCAATGCCCTCCTGAGCTGGGTAAGGTGGAGGGATGTACTGTACCACTGTGGCACCATGAAAAGTTATCGGCTGGTTAATGCCAGTGAAGACGAAGGACTGTCCGCTTGCGGTCTGGTCGAGGTCTGATGTATTTTCCTCTCTTTCTTTGCAGGTCTTACATGTAAGCATGTTAAATTTACAGACAGCAATCAGAATAAAAGTTACCCCAACAGACAGCAGAATAGGCCCTAGTAACTGAGTCCACTCCAGGTGAGTAATGCCATCGTATTTTATCCATCCCATCACGGTGAAAGTGATCCCCACGAGTCCCAAAAACACACCTGAAAAGAGCAAAGTGGCACCAGCTTTATCCCCATCTGACACCAGGGCATCGGATATGTTTGACTGACAAGGAGTGACAGAAAAGACATTCAAGGAGAAATCTTCTACACTGTTGCTGTTTGGCTCCATTTCTGAGTATAATGTATCTTCTGCCTCAAGGGAAAAGGGGCTTGTAAGAAACTTGGCAGAGCTTTTAAAGTTGAAGGTTCAGGTTAGTTATACAAGAACTTTGCGTGTATATGGTTAACAGGGTCCATCATGTGAAAGAATAAACTTTGCTTAGAAGAATAAAGGTCTGGGAAGCGAAGCCTGAAACAGTCACTAAAGACTCCTTGAATTACCACCATCACTTCCGAAATGGCTTCACCCTTGTATGGTTGCTTATCTCTTTGTTTATCCTCTTCTTTAATTTGGCACCTGCTGATACTTCCTCCCTGTGCCCACGTCAGATGGGAGAGAAAGGAAGCTGCAGCCACTGCAGCTTTTCCTAGGCCCCCTGCCAGCTGACGCAGCCAACATATGGACAACACACTGTCCATGTGCTTAATCAACAACAGTGTGGCAACTCTTGCTCTCCCTGGGCCACCACTTCCAGCTCCATTTTCTGCAGGAATACGCGTGTGCATTGCTGGCAGTACTTTGCAGTGCTCTGAAGCGTGACATTTACAGCCACACCTGCACCTCTGTTGCAGCTTGCTCTGCAGTCCAGACCCTCTGTGGTTTAAAAAATACCAAAGTAGGGTTTCCGATAGTTTGCCAAGGGGCAGTGGTGGGAGGATAACCAGCAACAGGGTGCTGAGCACTGAACAACCTTGAGAGAGCTGCTGTTGTGGGAGAAAGGTTATTTCAAGCCAGCCAAAGCTTTCCAGCTGTTTGAAGGTAGCATTAATTGTTCTGTAATTTCCCCTTAACTGTGGACATATTTTGTTGTGGGATCTCCACCCCTTTCTCAAAGTTTACACTGAATAAAGCTCACATACCCTGAATAGCACACCGCTGCAGGAATGAGAAAGCATCTCCTGCAATGTTTAACCTGGTAAAGTGAGGGACCTTATCCTGTACCTAGAAGCGTCTAGAACATTTTTTTTTACATCACAATGAACTGTTCTGTTGAACATATGTCCCATATATTAAACAGATAGCTCAATTGAATATTGAGATTTTCCATTTCCTAACAGTTTCAGACCAAAGTATTTGCTGTCAGAGGGTTCTCGTAGAATGTATAATTCATTAAGGAGAAAAAATCTCCAACTACTCAAATCTGTTTTGACTTGCTTGTTAGGGGAGTACACACAGGACAGAGATTACTACTCATGTGGTAGAACATACAGTGCTATTTTCTGCTACCAGCAGCTCTGGGGAAGCAGGCTTATCCTGATTATTTATCAGGTGAAAATAGCTCTAGAACTAGAAAACTCACCTTTCAGACTGCTTCTTCAAAACCAGTAAAAAAAATTTAGTAAGGACTAAATCCTTTAGTCTATTGTGCCTTCATATCACAGTGTGACAGCAGCTCACTTCTGAAAGGGCTGCTCACTGAATTTGGCACCTTCGGAACTGAATGCAATTGCAGATGGGAAATTCTCATTTGTTAGCAGATAGACCTTGAGGAATATTAGCACTGAATTCCTTTAGAAAATGTCTGGGAAGTTTCCAAAGTCAGTATAATGTCTCTTCTATTACCAAGGGTGCCAAAAAATTTTCTGGCAAATACACCCAACATCAGCCTTTCCCACAGCATCGGGTCTAGTCAGGACTCTGCATCACTTGAGCAAAGAGTTAGAGCTTGCAATGCAGTGGTTTCATATGATGACAACTAAATCAGAAAGTGCTGAAATACTAGCTAAGCTGTCCTTGTATTGGCAATTATAGCCAAAACCTAAGTCCCCTTTAACCTTATATTTGGTAAACTTAATGGAATGAACTTCTGTTACTGCTCTCTGCAAGTCAGGTTTTTCCATACCATGAATCATTCTTGTCACTGCTTGCTGAATCTTCCAGACTTTCCAACATCCTTTTAAAAGCAAGCATTATACCATAATAGTTGTCTAAGTAACGATATATACAGATGTAGTGCCACCTCCCTCCTCCCACTCATTCAAGAATTCAGCAGCTGCTGCTGGCAACAGGATTGTGCTGGAGCACTTCCTCAATCCTACGCAATAGTCCTTAGATGCTGGCTGGCGTCGGAGTTTTCCAAGCTGAATGTTACACCATCCCATGGTTGATGCTCTTTGCCTCTGGCCTAGGATAGGAATTCATGGTTCTTGAGTAAGTAAACAGCAGAGCTGGAGAATACAGGTGGTTTCTTCCAAGACTACTTGTCGCTTGAACTTAGAAAATTAGGTAGAAAACACTTTCTGTATGGTGTGGTGGGATCTAAATTAAAATGACACCTTTTCCTATAAACTATCGCCTCCCTTTAAGATAGAGTTTCCTCTAAGCCTCTCCAAATTTCTCTCATTATTTCCCCAGACAGTGGCAATGCTGCATTTGGGCAGATATAAAGGTTTTAAGAGATTACCGGATCACATTGATTTTTTAAGGCCAGTACTTTCCTTTGTCAAGTATGTGTATATTCTGGGGATTCACTTAAATATGCTCATTTATCAAATACATCCCCTGTTACGTGGAATAACTCATCAACAAATGATCTGTAAAACCTAACAAATTAGTCAGACTGAGATTTTCAGAATGAGTGGTGTTTCCAGATCTCTCTACAGTTTTCTTCCCAGCTGCTTCAGGGACCTTAACCCTAAACACAAGCACTGCTTTGCTTTTTGTTCCTCTATATACTTTTCTATTACCAATGCAGAACAATGCTTGCTGCTGGAAGTAGATTTTCTGTGGTGCTCCGCACCTCCTAAGTTCCCTAACTTGTTTCAAGTCATCCTAGTAAACACTGTCAGGCTTTCACTTGATCCTTTTCTTCTTCTGCTATTTATTTTTACATAGTTGTTCACATTAATCAGCCCATTGTAGTGAGGTTTTATTTTCTTATGTGCCTGTAATATAGTCAGGGACTTAGTCACAGACCATGCAAAAGATGTCGTATAAAAGAATATTATACCATGGTATTGCACACTGAGTGACTTTAAAAAGAGTAGGTACAAATCATCACTCCGTAATGGAACATTCAATTGTAGGGAGATAAAGAAGCCAATGATTTGTCTGAGAGAGATTTCTTCCTAGGGACAGAAGCATTTTTAGTGAAACAACACAAATCATGTGTGTAAGAGCAGTACCTGAAGAACCATCACAAATGAGCCTTGCACACTTGGTCCCTGTATTACTGCACTGCCACCCTCAAAGCATAAATAAGCTGTGAGGAGCAGGCTCAGCCAGCTGCCCACAACCACATCTACCTGCAAGGCAGTTTTATGTGCTCCTGGGGAGTGTCTTCTTAACAGGCACACCAAATTGAAGCTATTTTCATGCCTTATTATCCAGATACATACATGTGTGATAGATGAAAGAGCACAGTTCTAGATGAAGGCTGACACATTTGAGGCAGAAACATGGAGGCATTAACAAAAACGTCTGCCTGGGCACAGAAATGCCCTGGGAGCCATTACTCTGAAAAGGCAGGATGGAAAACAGATGGATGGATACAGCACTACCAACCACAAAGGGCAACAATGGGGTGGGTGCAATCAAGTGACTGTTGCTATCTTAAAAACATAGCATAATTACAGACATCTATGATATCTCAATTTTTCAGATGAGTTAGCTTCCTCTTTTTAGCTGCTGCTGATGCAGAAAGATTTCCTGTAGAGAAGAGGCATCCATTTATATTTTCATGAATCCTTCTCATATCCAAAGGATTGTACTGTTGCAGTTAGAAGCAGAACAATGTCGGTGCAGGCAGCAAGGAAGAGAGACCTTAACTTCACTTAAAGAGGATAAGCAATCCTTACCTCCCACTTTGCCTGTTTAAGTAAGTGTGAATCAGTAACCAACTTGATTTGCTCCCTAGCATTTGTATGTCAAGCACTTAAGCTAACCTTTGGGCAGAAAGAGGGTTATAGCACCATTAGTGTGACAGTAAAGTATCTCACTTCCTCAATAAAAACGCTATTCCGTATTATTTTAAGCTACTTTTATAGTTTTACAAGGTGTTGCTTCCTTTCTAATACAGGCATTTCACCCCTACTCCCCACATCAGAAATTCCTCCCACTAACACTGTTCACCCAGTGGTAGCCCTCAGTGTCGGAGACAGATCTGCTAGCCTCTTACCCACATTTTCTGACCTTGCTGAAACAGATTTTGACAACACAGTAAGCAAATACTGCTGGCCTGGCTATGTTACCTCTCACAGTGCTGAGCAGCTTATGAAGATGCAGCCAGCACATCCGCTGAGTTTTCAAGGAGTGATTCATAGAGCCATTGAACAGTTAGGGTTGGAAAGGACCTTAAGATCACCAAGTTCCACCCCCCCTGCCATGGGCAGGGACACGTCACACTAAACCATATCACCCAAGGCCTTGTCCAACATGGTTTTGAACACGAGTCCCTCCGCAGCATCCCTATAGGCCCCCTGATTCTCCAAGTCAAAAATAATACAGCTAATAATAACAATAAGCTAATACAGCTGTACACCAAGCTATCTCCTAAGCACCTTCTCAAAACAGTACAAAGAGAAACACTTGTCTTCAGTCCTGATTTTCAGAGATAAGTAACACCTACCCTTCCAGGAAAGTTCAGGTGCTGACTTCAAAGAGTCAGGTCAGCAGCTTTCTAAAGCATGCTTTCCTTGAAGACTGCTTTTTTTTAGAAATAAAGGGATCCATACTGGAGACTCTTGAGTGCAAGATCAAAACACAATAACCTTGAAATAAAACAAGATCATGTTTCAGTTCCAGGGGTCTCAGCTCAGTCTCAACATATTCTACTTGATTTGTCTGGTCTCTCAGGTAAATCTTGGGAACGATTGATGGAGCAAATTGCAGGCAGCACGAAAGTTTAGTACCTATAGAGTTAGCAATTAGATGTGACTATTTTTTTAAGATGGTGACATATTTCAAGATTTGTTTAAATACTTTTTGATGAGTGAAATGAGCGTTCATTTGTAATTCAAACAACAGAACAAAGCCAACGTGGGTCTTTGTTTGCTTAGGATCTTTTAGGTAAAATACCCCAGCTTCCTTACTTGCTATGTAATAGCACAACAAATCCAGAGAGACAAGCTCCTTCGACATATGCAAGGCTTTGTATTCATGAATGAAGCATGCCAGTGGGCACCACTGTTAAATATCAGGTTAGAAACAAAAGCTTAAAAGAAAAAAAATCAGAACTATGGTGAACCATAGCTTGGATTACAGAAGGCATTCAAGGAACAGCATCCTTGAAAAACTCACTAGGTAAAAAACACTTCAGAGAAGAGATGACGAAACTCTTGCCGGCTTTTGTAGATCCCCTTTCGTCATATAGACATTTCCCATGGCTGAGTTATGCCAGTTTAATCAGCTCCCACATACCAAATCCCTCTCTGTGCTGCATTCTCTCATTACTTCGCCATGCATAAGCCCCTCAGCTCTATTGCTGGCTAAATATACCTCCCTCACTGGATGGTTTGTTTTTGTGTAGCTCCACACAGAGCAGCCCTAGCACAACTGAGGGAACAACACAGGAGCGGAAATAAATGTCCACACCCAGGAGCTCCTGAACGTCTCCAAAGAACCCTGCAGGTGAGAGGCATATTCACAGAAAGATGACAGGAAGCAATCACCTTTCCCTGGGCACAGGAAGGAACTCCAGTACTTCAAGTTTGCATTCTGTTACAGCCATGTTCCCTGAAATTCAGCAAGGCAGAAGACAAGCTGAGGTGTAGCTGAGGCCCCAGAGCATGCAGGTGCTAGTGCCAGCTGAACAAGACAGAGATCACTCTTGCAAGATGTTTTAATTCTGGTTAAGTTCACCATGCTGAACCAAGTCAGAACAGTAGCTCTGCCACCTTCTGCTTCTGGGCATAGAATGAGGTCTATTTTTCTCAAATGGGGTTCAGAATAAGTTGTGAAGTGTTAGCAGCAACTCAGTTCCTGATAATTACCCTTACCTACTACAAACAAATCCCCCAGTTCAGGAATAGGTGCAAACAATGGCATAATAGAACTAGAACCTGTTGTCACTCCACCCTGAAGGCAGGCAGCTACTGCTTAGGGCTGCACAGGCACACAGGAGCTAAGAGAGCTGTTTTCTGAAGGGTCTGTCAAGTGCTATGTCAGTTAAAAACATCCACTGCATACTTTTCCATTAAAGTGCCTCTCTTGCATTTGCTGATAAGTAACATCTGCATCTGGAACATAGCAGGCTGAGTGGTGCTCACTCTCACAAAATAAGCATTCCTCCTATAAACCATGAATGATGATACATATAACAGCTGTATAATCCCCCTGAAATTAGTCATTATTACAGTTAAACTGTTAGCCTATTAACTATCCTCAGTGCTGCTTTAGAGCTCTTGGCTGCTTGTTAAAAGTGATCTTCCTAGGGATTATACTTACATAAGTACTAGAGAGGGTCTAAATTAAGCTATGGAATGTTTATTACCAGGCAGACCAAAAACTAACCATTTAAACTCTCCATAACATACTTGGTCCCAATCTTAAACACCCCTTTTTGTGATGTTCTCAGAGAGTATATAAAGTCAGTAACTGTGCAAACCAGTATTTTCCACAAAAGTCATACAAAAATAGAAATAAAACCACTTCCTATTTATTTCGTTTTGAAGCTCCAGATTTAATTAAAATAAGGAAAAAGTTGGTTTCTACTTAGTGCCTCTACTATATAAATGACTAAAAACAGAAATTGAAGCTGTAACAGAACAAGATGAACATTTAACACTTACAGCGAACTGAATCCCTTCAGACTACTTGCTCAACAAGCCCAGCATTATCTAATATTCCCTGAAACCCAAATTCATTTTATGACCCCATTTATGCTTTTTGATGAAAAATTAGACACAGACAACATTATTTTTTTTATTATAAAATGTAAATTAATTCAAAAATTGTAAATCTGAATGTACAATTCAACTTAAAAATTAAGTCTGACAGTCCTTTATGAGCTGGTGTCAGACAGAGCTAAGGAAATAGACGAAGAAGATGAAGAATATTCATTATTTGTTATGGATGCTTTTTCTTCATATTTTGGAGGTGGTTCAGAGGAGAGGTATAGCACTGGTAAAATATCTGAAGGTGAGCTGCTTCCAGAAATTGTATATATGGTTTCATAGTCTCTAACAGCAACTGTTCTTTCATCGACTGCAAGCTGCGCTCTACAAAAACACAAAACTGCATATTAGCATAATTAATTTCTCTACAGTGAGTGAAATTCTACTTGACTTACATAAACATATATATGCACATGCTCCCTAAAAATCCATGGAGCAAATAACTTGCATAAGCATTAGGATTTCATTTGCTAGGCTACATTATGATTCATATGAAAATTCTATTACTTCAGAAGGGAAGGGGAAGCAAGCTCCTTTCTAGATTTGCACATCACCAGTCACAGCCTGGCTTATGGGTATTAGGGCCTTCTAGCAGAGCTATATCATAATCTTACTAAATCTTCTTCTGATCCTTGGCTCCTGATGTACCTTCCCTTTTGTAGTCTTATCACATATATGCTGTTCCCTTCCCTTATGAAATTAAAAGACCTAGAATTGCATTGAAAAAAATCACAATCCTTAGCCATTTGAGATCTTACATGAAAGGCAACTTGAAACTTTTATTAAGCTTTCCAGCAACCCACGACAGACATACAGAGTAGCATTCCTGCTCAGAGCTGGAGAAACAGAAGTAATTGGACACGACCAGACTGACAAGTTCCCAGTGACAGTCAAGGAGGGCAGCCAAATATTCGTTACGCTCCTCTGACCATCATAACTAGATCCCCATCAGTTGTAACCACATGGCTCTGGTACCCTGCTCATCTCAACCTGGAGCTGGTTGGCCCTGGGCATGTTGTTTCATCTGCTTCCCAAGGGAAGGGAAGAACTCCTCATTCCTTGCGAATCACTCCAAGAACTGGCACTTGCCTTTGTGCATACATCTGGTCACCCACCAATACTGTGAGGAGCAGGAATACAGAGCATCTTCTCTTTCATGGTGCTACTGGTGTGCAAAGGTGTGTGCTTAAAGCAGAGTGAGCATACTAAAAGACGAATGCTGAAATGCTATATAACAGACTGCAGTACAAAACCAACCATGTCTGGGATCAGACCATGACTCAGCTTCCTACAAGCTCTCTCATCCAGCACAGCCTCTGGCACAGCACTTGCTGACAGAGCATGGAGCAATGGACTCAAAAATGAAATCACATTTGCCTAGTAACCACTCACATACAAAATGCGCATTCCCTTCCAGCTTTGGGATCTTCAACCATGGCACTATGTTAGGAGGAACAAGACCTCTGATGCTCTTCCATGAAAAGGGGTAGGAAGCCAATTTGCAGTAGTCAAGATGCCGTGGCCGTGACCAAGCGCTGCACCATGGGAGAGCATGACTGAGTGAAATGCTCAGAGGTGGGTGGTATCGGCTCACAGGGTCTCTGTGAAGACCCTGGGAAGCACTGAAGGACAACAGTTTGATCACCCCCAGCCACAGAACATTGAAGCAAGAAGTCAAGGTTTCAGCACCCAAGGTTGAGGTCTTTTGTCCACTCCACTAAAACAAGCTAGGCTACAAACTGCCATTTTGCGTGCATATGTTCACAAGATGAAGAAGTCCAGACAGGCAAGCAACAAGGATTGAGTTGATGTGATCACATATAAAGCTCAGAGCACAAGAACTGGACATTCATGGATTGAGGCAGCTGATCCAGCTGCAGGCGATTTTGTAAGAGAATGGATGAAAGCGAGGGGTAACCTGTATGTGCATCAGCAGGGAGAGCCAACAAGAAGTGTGAGGAACTATTGGTTTTGACATTCCCCTGCCACCCTTTGTTTTTTGTTTCTCAGTGAAGGATGCACTGCTTGCATTCCTTCACAGCCTTTGGTAATCTACATATTTTACCAAACACATGGGCAGGCAGCCCACATCTGAACTCAAGGCCTGAAATCAAGGGTAAAGAGCACTTGTGTCCCTCAGTTTAGTGCATGGTACTTATAGACAGGTGATACAAGAGTCATACTCTCTCTCCCACATGCTTACAAGGCTACAGCAGAACATGGGTGTTCCTGTATTCCTCCCAGTTATCCACTCCAGCCTGGTCTTCTAAATGTATTTAAATAATGTTTTTTGAGAGTGCTCTTGGACCATATTTGAATCGGCTGTCTCAGAGCTATTGGAGGTTCAGGTTCACACTCAGGGCAAATAATTTCTCCACATAGATCCATTTGCTTTGTGTGTACATCTGGAACGTACATGCCAGAAGGGAGTTACAGCACATGCTGGACACAGACATGCTCATGTCTGATGCCTAACTCTAGGACTAGCAGCAGCTGGCATGAAACACCTTCCAGCTGTGGACACCTTCACCCAGCCCAATCAGGACACAGATACTTCACGTAAATTCTTTCTTGCAGCAGCAGCAGTTTATTTTCTCTCCTGCTTGCTCTGGCCATCCTTTAATTGCACTAATATAGCTCTGACAGCTGATACATTACACTCACAATCTGAGAGCAGGCAAAAACTTTTATACTTAATGAAATAAAATGTTTTTTTGCACAACAATTTATCCCTGGCCATGAGAGTCACCGCTCTCTGGAAAGTACTTTCACTTGATCAACCCGATATCTTCTCATACCTACATCTGCCCTTGCCATCCTGAATTGGCACGTGTTTATAGCCCTGAGTAATCAACAGGCTCTCATCAACTCTGTACAAAAAGTACTTTCTCTGAAACAATTTAAGTGGAAAACCCTCAGACCATTAACTGTGTGCATAGCTAGGATTTATTAGGCTTTGTATCCCTCAGCATACGTCATCAATCTCAAGCTGGACCTCAGTCAGTGGGAACCAAACACCGAGCATCTTCCTTCCCTAGGTGGTATGTACATGACCATTTTATTTTGTTTGGGGGCTAGTCCCACTGTGCACTAGAGAGAGTGCTATACCAGTCATCAAGAAGACTGAGTAGGGGTTTTGATAGAGGTGTTTATTCTATGTTAAAAAAATGCAACACAGTGATTTTGAGAAAAAGCAGAAAAACAGCCTGGCTTGCAATAATAGCAACAGAAGAAGGCATCTGCTGTCTCCAGCAAAGATGGAGAGGAAATGTTTGGAGGAGGGCAATAGGAAGTTAAAGACAATATGAGGAGCTGTTGACAATGACTGACTTGAGAACAGTGCCTTGCACAGTGGGGCTGAGCCTCAAGAATCCACCAGGTGCACTTCAAAGGATGACTGAAAAACCACAGACATGGCAGCACACAGTGTGATAACAAGGATAAGCACCATTGCTAACACAAGTATCCTCCTCCTGTGGCATTTAGGACTTTGGGTTGGAAGAAGGTTCGTGCTTGCTCACTTCAAAAGGAAGATTAGCACAAGTTTTAAAGTGTGCCGACATCAGGCACACAGCTGGTCATGGAATACACTTCCTTGTGTGAGTAGAGAAACCTGGAATATAGTGGAAAGCCATTAAAGCAACGGACCAACAACTACGACTACTGGACACAGCTGGGCAGGCTGGAGTTTTTCCGCAATGATGGTGCTGAAGATGCTGCGGGTTGTAAACTAAAGTCATCCAATGAAGTACCACACTACCCACTGACTCACAGATCAAAAATAAGCTGACATAGGACCTCCCTAAAGGCAAAGTCAATTCTGGATCATGAAAGCCCTGAAAATGAGTTGGGGGCTCTAGGCATGTGGCATCTAGCTCTCCTGGCCAGATGTAGTTCTGGCTCCTAGTATGTGGTCCTTGCAGTACCTCTTTCACTTCCAAGTTAGCAGCCCATTGGTGGTAACCCACAGGGGATAAATAACGCTAGAAGTTCTTCCACTGTAGACTGGAAGTCTTCAGTCACTTGGCAGCTCTCCTTCCCACAGCTTGGTAGTGGCAGCATCTAGCAAATCAGCTGTTCTCAACCTATGGAAGATTGGCTGCATGGGTAAGGTACAACACCTTGAGATGAAGCTGGCATTGCAACCTTCCTTTTAGAGCTCCTCCTGCTCTTCTGCTGCCATATCAAGGTATCCTTTTATCTTGACACACTGCCACAGCTGGAACAAGGCAGACCAGCACAACAGGTCTCACTTCCCCAAGGCAGTAAGCTAATGGTCACAGAGGGAACAGAAGCCACTAAAGTGGAGTTGCCAGGGTCACAGGACCTGGGGATAGGTGTCATTAAGGGCTCACTGCACTGGTTCTACAGAGAAAAATCTTTCAGTGCAGGTAACATGACACTGAGGCACTGCTGTCAGGGACACCTTCTCTTGGACAATCTGTGGAAGAAACCTAATCTGACTATATAAGACCACTTATTTAAGGCTTTGTTTTTACTTCATCAAAGCTCTTTTTAGTCACAATGAACTGGCAAGAATTTAACTCCCATAATGATACACTAGAAAACTTTGTAGTGCCTAGCAGAGAGTTAATTCACAGTGATTATTTTAGAATGTGGTCTTGGATACCTTGAGAAGCAGCCCATATTTCCAAAGACAGAGAAGAAAACAGTCTTACCCATCACTGAAGATAGAATGGTATGGTGGGGGATTTTCACCTGTAGGCAAACCACTTGACATAAGACAATGTGTTACAGTTTGTGACACAGGATCAGCAAAATAAGGAGGTGGTGGAGGTGGGAATATCATTACAGCATCACCTAGGGAAAAAAAAACACCAATTACTACCTCTGAAAAACTGAGCACCACTGTTTATTATAACTGTATCCAAAAATATTTCCCATCTTTGGAATTACTTTGTCTACCTTTTAAGATAAAGTGCAATGATCACACATACAGAACAGTTATATTCTGGGCTGTTAAAGTACATTGGAGGTACATTCAACATCAAAATTATCCAGAATAAAGATGTGGCACACTGACAACAAATGGAAGATTTAATTTATAAAATACAGGTGGGGAGCAGAAGTGCTCCATCTAGCTAGCAGACACAAACCCCTTCACTGTTGGCTGAACTCAGAAACTGGAAGTGCAAGGCACAGTTACTGTTGGCTCACTTTAAGGATAGGCAAGTGTTTAGTTTTCCTCACATATCTAAAATAGTGCATCTTAAGTTTTTCCACAGTACTGCAGAGTTATAACAAAAGTATTCGAGTCATATCAATACCACAATGCTATTGATACATAATTAAGTGTACTGAGCAGCATATCTGCCAATTTTAACTTCCTAATCAAAGATTTTCAATTATTTAATTTTTAATTTAAATAGAAAGTTTGTATCTATCATTCACTACGTGATTTATACTGACATTCACAGCTGCCTGGCACCTTTCTTCCTTGGTAATTTCTCTGCAGGGACAGGTCAAAGAGCATCAAATATATTGAGTAAGGTGGCGGTATTTTCTAGCTGTGTCACTATTGTTCCAGAATGCCACAATGTCAACCAGACCTCAGCCTTCAGCCTGCCAGTTTTCCTGTTCCTCATGGAAATATAAAAGGAATCCACTAATTTTGCTTCCTTGCCTTTAAAAACAATGTGAATTTCTTTTTATGACCCTTTCATTTGTCCTGGTGTCTGGAAAACTGACTTTATACCTTCACATCTTCTAAGGGTCACCAGGTTAGAGGTCTGTACACCGGTTTGACAGGCAGAAGGAAAAAGGTTTTGCATAACAAATTTCAAGTATAGTGAGTCAGATGACAGTCAAGCAATATTATGATTGACTAATCATTTTTGAGAGGTAGAAAGTTACCAGAATAACCTATGTATAGAATGTGTTCATGGGCTATTAAAAGCAGTGGTATATGCAAGGGAGCATTCCCTGCCATCGTACCACATCTACTCAAATACTGTGCAATTACAGAAGCATTTTGCAATTACATCTCTGGCCATGATTAGAAGAAATACAGCACACTTCTTACAAAACAGATTTTTCTGGGTTTGGGGGTCAGAGCTTAAGGCTAAAATAAATCTTAAATAAAGTCATAGAAGTCAACACACCTGTGATTTGCAGTGTCAGCTACACCCTCTGGAAAGGAAATTGGATTGGACTCATTTGTGTTGGATTACATGGCTTCTTTTGCACAGGCAGTAAGACCCTTTGCTCTCTCAAAGGTTTTGCCTTTTAGAGAAAGGTAACTGAACTGATCTTACAAAAAAATGTAAGAGACAAAGTAACATTTTTCTGTTTTGGCTGGTTTGACAGATCAGAACTGACATGCTTAGACCTCAAATAAGTAATATTCAGAGGTAAATAATTAGTGGGAAACCCCCCCTTATTACTAACTCTCAAATGTAAAGTTCACACACTATTTACCCACCTACTGTAACCTGAAAAGGTTCAGGCCTCTGAGGTTGTTCTTCACTTTCACAAGATTCTTGGCTGAGATTTAAGTTTTGTTTCTTTTTAACATGAGCTATCACGAAGAAACACAACCCAGTGAGCACAATCAAAGGTCCCATGATTTGAAGAGACAGGAATCCACAGCCCTGGAGGTCCACATCAGAACTGCCAGTGTGGTTGAGCTGTATGGTGTGCCAGCTGGGGCTGCAGCCAGGAACCCAAATGCCCAAGATGCTAATTAGCATTCCACTAGTTAAAAACAGGAATCCAAATATGAGAAACTGGGCAAACTGACAGTTCCCACGACAAAAAACAAGACTGTACACCTGTTCGTTCTGCAACTGTCTTTGTCTTATATACAACCTGGCCCTTGATCTTGCCAGTAAAATACAAACCAGTCCACTTACAGCCAAAACAGGCCCAGCAGCCTTAAGGACCTCGTTACAGTCACTGAATGTTCCAGATGGGCATGACTGCAGAATACAGACTGAAAGCAGGAATCCAGCACATAGCAACACAGCTCCACAAACAAAAAGGAAAAAAATAAGTTTCCCATGTTGTTCATTATTTCCTTCACCCCCTGGTGCAGGAACAGCCACTGGATACATTACAACAGAGTCTTCTTAAGCAGATGAGTTGGGGTTTTTTTGGTTGACTGTTTTTCCTGTTAGCATTAAGTGGCAGAAAACTACAGTAGATCTGTGAACAGGAAAATACATTAATAAAAATAAGAAGAAAAAAAAACCCAACAGCGGGACTAGCTACATTACAATATTTATTTCTGCATTTGCTACTTGGCCTATATTGTATATACTTGGTCTATTTTCTGTTTTGTAGTACCCCCATTATGGATTAAAGGGCCTATTTCAGTCTGGTGCCATTGAATGCTGATGAAAAGACAGAACCTGCTTTACAGGTAGACTGAAAAAAAACCCTGCAATTGCTGCTGCACATCTAAATGAATTGTTTATTTAGATACACGGTCTTACAAATAAGGGGACATTATTTTCAAAGGCTGAATCTGGGGAATAAGGACAGGCTACCTTTCCTCTTGAAAGCAGAAAGCTACGGGAAATTTCTGCAGTGAATGGCAGAAAATGAGAGCTCTTGAGAGAAAGAAACTTCATGCAAATGAACACTGATGATTATTGGACTTTAAATCTTCTAATGCATACCTTTTCAAAGCATATAAATCTTGCTTCTCCTTCCACAGGCAATAAAAGCTTTTCTGTTTCTTAAATCAGCTTCTGGTCCTATACAGCTTCAAGAGCAAGCATACAGAAGATTCTGGTTCTGTTCTGAAAAGATTAAAGAAAAAAAAAGACAATTTAAAAAGCCATACTAAAGACTGTGTACTTCATCTCTCACCGATTCAATAGTTAGAGTTGGTAAGCATACTGCTCCCACACTTTCTTTAAACTTCCCATACTCCTGAATTCTTTGTCTCTGCTACAAGAAAGCTTTAAAAAGAAATATAACAAAAGTGACTCCCAGAAGGCTTCTGAGCCCACAGGAGGAAAAATTCAGCAGTAAAAGAGAAGAAAATATAAACTAGTGCTGAGGCTAGTCCATATGGTAGTATGGATGACAAATCTGCTGGATGTGGATAAACCGGGACAGGCAAAGCCTGACAAAGTTAGGACCTAGTGCCATTCAGTGAGCTCTAAGGAAAACAAAATCAAAAATTATTTCTGACATTATGCACAAGGAAGTTTGTGCTGCTCTGACACTTTGGACTACAGGGGTCATAAGGACATCTGTACTCTATACTACAGTGACTAGCAACCATGAGATCTCAGGTCCAAGTGGCTACATCCATCAAAAGTCAACCTGAAACCCAGGGGAATTTCAGACTATGGAAAATAAAATCTGGATAAACCACAAGAAAGCTGTTCCCTAACAAGTATAGGAGTTACTTATGTGTGCTCATATTGCAGCGTTTCAACACTGCCCTCTTCCCTTCACCCACAACCTCCCATGACAGACAACCTCATCTATTACTTGGTGGGTAATATCAGGATATACTGGATGTATCAGAAAGGATAAATATGGACTGGAGGAGTTTGTCACAGATAGAAGCAGGGACTCTACTTAGTTACTGTTATTAGTTAGTTAACATACAGACTTTCCTCTACCAGCTTCCACTGGCCTGCTACTCATTCAGATGACCAGAAGCTAGAAGTCATGTTAGATTGACTCCTCCTTACATGTGCCTCGTAACAGTTATTCCACAAGAAAAACAAAGTATTATGTGATTTTTGTAAACAAACTGTTGAACATATGTCAGCCACAACAAGCTTCCCATCACTCCCTAGTAACTGCAGCGCCCCACTGGGATGAAAACAAAACGCAACCATAAAAACCCATGCGTCAGTCAAACATGTAATTATCTGTTTGCAATGCAAAACAATCTATCAAGTCATTTTACTTAGCCACTTGTAAGAGCAGGACCCACTTAAAGAACTGGCTGAGCAGACACATGAATGGTGAATTTCTTAGATGTATTACTGCTCAACGTCAAACTAGACTGCCAGCAGCATGGGATAAGGCAGAGAGTAGCATGCAGGTAAAAGGCACAAGAAGTGCTAAGCTCAACAGGCAAGCAAACAGGCTATACCAGCAGCAGCAAGAAGGCCTCACTGCAGGAAGAAACAAAGTCTCCCAGCTGGCTACCTTGAATACCAAAACTGAGAGACCTCCCTTAATGCATCCCATCACTGTGGTCAATTAATTTGTAAACTGTGCCTGCTAAGTGTTTCTTCACTGTTCTGGATTCAGTCTATGTACCTGCTATGATTCGAAAACCTGCTAGCTGAGGTTCCCCTGGTAGAAGAGTCACAGTTTCAGTCTGGAAAAAAAAATGTAAAGAATACTAAAGATAGGACAGTATATCAACAAAAAGAAATTAAAGAAATTATGATTGATTTCAACCTGAATACCATTAGCCAAGCACACTTTCAAAACTGCATGAGCTGGAGTCAGTTTGAAGGCTTTCCTTCTGAGCAGAGAAATTGGATTAGTTTAGTCACTCCTCCTTCCTTGATTTCACTGGTCTTTCTGAAATTAATACAACTGTTTCTCATAGCTGCACATCATTTCTCATAATCCTTCACATCTAGGAATTTCCCTGTTTTTATAACTGATCTGAAGTGGCTCAGATTTACTGTTCTACAAATGCACAAAACTGAATAAAGGGCTTCTGAAATACAAAAAAGAAAAAATCCCATCAAAGCCCAGTTTCAGACTCACCTGTCTTGAGATACTTTTTGCTGAGGCACATTAATCATTATAACAGCAATAATACACTATAATTAGAGATAACTCTGAATCCTTCTTTTGCATTTCGCTCCAGGGAAGAAAACATGAACAAGTACAAGTGAATTAGGACAAAAGGAAATAATGAAGGGACCAGGTTGAATGAAGCCTTGGGTGAGATGGTTTAGTGTGAGGTGTCCCTGCCCATGGCAGGGGGGTTGGAACTAGATGATGTTAAGGTCCTTTCCAACCCTAACTATTCTACGATTCTATTCTACGATTCTAAAAACAAAATCCAAACATTTAGCCCCTAAAAAGAAATATCTGTAAATTTGTTCTCATTACACCAGCACAGTGTCTGCTTTTCTTCCACCAGTCTTGTTATGAGATTAAAACACACATTAGAAATGAAGCACGTGCATATTTTCTTCATTCTTTCAGGCCACAAAAGAAGGAACATTCAGAACAGTCTGTTGTGGCTTTGAAGATGAAAGCCACAGATTTAATGCTGCGAAATTGAAAGGAGGACTAATTTTCATTTATGCTACCACCAAATTTCAACTAAAAAAAACAATGCAAGATTAAGCTTTATTTCTTGTGTTTCAAGAAGAAGTATTTTAAGAAAGAAGTAAGCCTTATATTGACTATGTGCTTGAAATACTTCCATTAAATCCGATATATGCAGAGGCATAGACATAAGAGAATTTTCCTTTTATACTGACCCAAAGTCTGAGAGCAGACATGGAAATACTGGGTCAGAAACTGCTAGAAGATCTGTTAGTGTGGAGGCAGCTAAGGATGAGGAAAGAGGGAACTGAAACATAGCTTGTAAAGGAAGTCTGGTTATGAGCTTAAAACTGTGTTATCCTTTTGTAAGTCTAGCCCAAGCCAGGTATATTCAACACGAAATAACATCACAATCATCTCATCAATTTTCTGTATAATACTTGCATTACAAAATTCACATTATGCACAACTCCAAGAATTTTAAAATACACGTTTTAATGACAGAACAGGGACTTTTTGCTTTTTGCTTGAACATTCAGAGTTCATATTGTCCAAGATTTCCACTGCAAACACCAGGCTATAAATTTACTCCCCCTTACCCATATGAAATTTGACAGCCAGGTGCAATTACATGAATTCAGGAACTGAGGATTAAAAGAAAAAAGCATTGGAAGAATTAAAATGCTGCTGTCCCTCTGTTTTATGTTTCCCAGAGAAGGCCCCATTCCTGCTCTTTTGCTTGCAAAAGCACCCAAATGATTTCATGCAGAAGGATGAGATCTATCCTGTGTTTTTTATTTCAAAAATTACAATACCCTGTCAGTTGTAGTCCACAATGTAAACCCATTAGAAGTCACAAGCCACCCTTTTCAAGATTTTTCTATTTAAGTGTTTTAACCCATACTTTCAATTTTTGAGCAGCTACTGGGAAGTTGCCACTGCCACTGTGGCTGGGTGGGTTTTTGTTGTTTTTTTTCTTGGGGGGGTGTGTGGTTTTTTTTTTTTGTGGTGTTTTTGTTTGTTTGCTTGGTTTTGTTTGGTTTGGTGGTGGTTTTTTGTTTTCTTCACAGGTTTCAAGTAAAACCATGACTTCTGACAGGACAAGCTACCTGGAAGGAAAAGTCCTGTCAACTTCATTCAGTTTAACTTCCATATCAAAACATGAACAGCTCTCCACTTCCTCTCACTCTCTGTATCCAGTTCCCTCCTCCATTCTTAACTCCCTCTGTACCCATGCCATTTCCTGTTATCATATCACAATTTTCCTCCAGATTGCACTCTGAACTTGACATTCAGCAGAGCACCCATCCATAAGTACAGCTGGTTAAACCGCACTAAACTGGAGTCCACTGCCTTTATTCCCACAGTATTCCCTCCCCATGGTGTTTTTAATCATTTGTATTAAGAGCTAGGGGGAAATGCTTGACAGGTTGAACTTCCAGTTTTCTACTTTCAAGCAACATTAACGCTACAAGGACTAACAGGTTCTGAGATGCCAAACACAACCGATTTGATCTCTTGCTTACACACTCTTGGATCAGTGCCTAACAGTGCTCTCATCTCATGGAACATACAACTCTGATATCCCAGGAGGATTTCTCTAAACAGGGAGTGGATGCCACAGAAAAAAAACTGCCCATATGGACTGACAAAATGATTGTGTTAGCTCACACTGTAAGAAGAGTAATGCTGTTATTTACGACCACTGAAGGTGGGGCAGAAGTCAATGTCTGGAGAAGTGAAGGAAAGCAGCTGCAGCAGGAATTTCCAGAAGATGGGATGAATCCTGACAGTCTCCAGACACGTGTGCCAACTATCTTTCTCACCACAAACCGGCAGTCAGAGATTCTGACCTCTACCAGGCAGAAATGTGCTCCATGAAGAAGCTGCTAACCTGTGGGCCACAAGAGAAAAACAGCTGGAGTAAAAGTTGGTTCACAAATGTTCCCCAATCACTCTGGCAGGCAAGAAAGCCCTGATGACACAGTTGGATGTGAGGACCCCAAACGGATGTGTCTGGACACAGAGGAGCTTGCAAAGCACGATTTGGTAACCCACTGATTAGATGCCTTGCACGTAACTAGGACGGCACCTAGATTCAATAACATGCTCTGAAGGTTCCCATGCATGTAGGTGGGATGCTTTTTACAGGACTCACTGGTGGACCCAAGAGCTGGGACAAAGCAGCTCCTACTTTCTGCAGTACCTCATGGAAGGCTGGAGAGAAGACAGACAGACACAGGTAAAGCCAGAGCTGAATTTCTTCAAACAGGTAACACAAGACAGACCAATTGCTGGCAAGTTCAGGGAAAGTCTGTCCCACGAGTCTGATGTACCTCAGAGTTGCAAAAGCCACAGGAAGATCTTCCAGAGGGTAGGTCAGTGACCATCAGGAAGATGCAAGTCTCCAAAAGCTACTCAAAGCCTTCCTGTCCTGGTTTCTTGAGGTTGGCTTGGAGCATTAAATCACAACCAACTCACAGACAAGCAATTAAGCTGTTACTCCATCTGGTGAATACAGCATCCCATGGGATAACCCTCCTCATGCATCAGCCCATCTGGCATGCTCTCTGCTAGACACTAACTCTTTTAAGTCACGTTAAGGTCTTCAGGAGGGCAGATCATGCCCGGAGAACACAGCTCCCATGCTGGAGCAAGGAGTGCCACCGGGCTGCCCGTTTACCCACTCCTGTGAGGGAGCAGCACTTGGCCGGTGTGGGGCCAGCCCATCACCCCAGCAAGCGCCTTCTTATCAGTGCCTTCCCAGGTGTGTGCCACCAGCAGTAACTGTACCACGGTATATCAGCAGAATAATTTGTAAAGGCCCCGTCAGAGACATCTCATCCTCTCACTCTAATGGCGTCAAGGTCACACTGGGGGGAAGCGGTGTGGGGAGCGGCGGGCTCTCCAGGGAGATAAGGCTTTCCTTGCCGCAGGATGTTTATACCCCGGATAAGCGAGACGCAGAGCCAATGCCCTAGCCTCCACGCTTGAGGGAGTGAAAAACACAGCAACAGCAGCGGCAGCGGGAAGACACGGCACAAGCCCACCCGCCCAGCCGCGGCCCCTCCCGGGGTCAGCCGGGGGACGAGCCGCCCTCCAGCAGCGCCCGCCTTCCGACACAAAGCGTGCCTGCCAGGGTGCCCCTCTCCGCACCGCGCCTGCCTCCCCTCGCACCAGCACTCCCAGGCTCCCCGTGCCGCGGAGGGCCGGCCGGGGGACACTCCCTGCTTTCGCGCCCGCCTGGTCGCTGCTTTCAACTCGCGGCGGAAGCTGTGACTGCCCCGGCAGCCAGAGAAGCGCCTTCCCACGGCCTCGGCCCCCCGCGGTAGGCAGCGCGGAGCGGGAAAGGGTCCCCGGCGAAGGCCTCCGAGCATCCTGCCTTACCTGGCCGCGGTGCGAGGGACTGGGGTGGCGCGGCGGGCGACGCTATTTAAGCACCTTCGCCAGGCAGCGCGCACCTGGGCGGGGCAGGGCACGGCCGGGCCGGGCCGCACCGCCCCTGGGGACCGTGCGGCCGCCGTGGCTGCTGAGGCACCGCCTCCCCTGGAGCCGAGCGCCCCGCCCGGCTGTGGCCTCGGTGGCCCGGCGTCACCTCTCCGCCGAGCCGGCTCGTCCGGTCGCAGACAGGGCGCTTCCCGCGGCCCGCAGGGTGGGGGCCGGCTCCGCCGTACGTTGCCCACAGGGCAGCCCCGCCGCGGGGCTGTGCCAGCGGACGGGTCCGCGTTGGGCTTTGCCCGCGCCCTTGACGGGTGAGGAGGAGAAGGTGCGGGTGCGAGGCGGCCCTGTCTTGGTCACCCCGCTCGAGGCCGGCGCTGAGGTACCAGCGTCCTGCGGCGGTGCGGGAGGTTGCTGCGCCGCTGGGAGGTTTCTCAGCTCATGGAATGGACGCTCAGCTCTTTGGGCAGGGCCGTTGCATGTGTCCCTGGAGTCATGTGTAGGTGGCCGTGGTCTGTCGTGCCTCTGAAGTACCGGTGGCTTCGAGGTGAGGCAGGTGAGCAGCCCTCTTGGGGAGGTTGTGCCACATCTCCCGTTTCAGGAGCCCTTTGGTCACTTTATGCTTGCCAGCCTTAGCCTTCTGCACACTTGGGAACTTGACCGGTATTAGATGCAGGCCAAGCTTAGATGTGACTGATTTCATAGAGTCATAGAATGGTTTGGAAGGGACCTTAAAGATCATCTGGTTCCACTGCCCCTGCCATGGGCAGGGATGTCTTTCACTAGAGCAGGTTGCTCAGAGTCCAACCTGGCCTTGAATACTTCCAGGGATCGGGCAGCCACAGTTTCTCTGGGGAACCTGTGCCAGCATCTCACCACCCTTAAAGAATTCCTTCCTGATGTCTAATCTAGGTCTACCTTCTTTCAGCTTAAAGCCACTTTCCTTTGTCCTGTCTCTACATGCCTGTGTAAAAAATCCTTTTACAGATTTCATGTACCCCCTTCAAGTACTGGAAGCTGCTCTAAGGTCTCCCCAGAGCCTTCTCTTCTCCAGGCTGAACAATTGCAGCTCTCTCAAATTGTGATGAATTTCTATGAAATTCAGAATTTCTTTCAGTGATGGCCAGTTTAGCCACTGGACATGGGAGAAGTTGGTTTCTCTCTTACTTGCTAGGTGCAGGCAGTGTGGAGGAAGAAGCTGGCTTTGGTAGCAGAGACAAGAGCTGTGAAGTGCAAGGAGCGGCTGTGTGAGACGACAAGGAGCCAGGGGAGATGGGCTAGGTTGTGCCACATGTAAGCGGGTGTAGCAGTGGTAAGACCTGAATGACAGTGGGACTAAAGCTGCTCTACTGGTTAATCACAGCCTGGTAGCTGGTGAAGTGTGAGGAAAGCCACTTGGAGTTATGTGAGTCAAAACAAGGGGAGCCAGAACAGGGCTGAAAGGTGGAGTGATGCCCAGAAAATAGATGGCAGGAGGAAAGAGAGTGTATCAAAGTTTTGGTTGACAGGATGATAGTTTGGTTATATGGTGAGACTGGGGGGAAATGGGATAATGGGGTTTTGGAGGGGATCTAGATTCAGGTAGAGAAGTAGGGAAAACTTGGAATTCGATGAAGAACCAAAGAGTGTATGAAAATATATGTGGGGTGTAGGAAGGAGCTTGTGATGGGCTATAAGGCTCTAAGCTTTCCAGAGCTTGAAGATTCCTGGATTTTATTGGCCCATTGCTGTCTTGACTGTTTTATGTCCCAGTCCAGCTCCCACTGACTGCAAGGTGGGCTTCAGTTGTTAAACACTTGTATGCTGTTGTGAAGAGTCTTAGGGTAAGGAGAGACTTCGAAGTAATAATTCCTGTATTCTGTGAAGAGTGAAATATTTTATTGAAGTATAAAAGCAGGGAATAAAAAAAATGCCTGAAGAGAACAAAAGGTGAGCACTGATTGTTATGAATACACGTTGAAGCTTAAGTCTTACAAAGAGTGGAAGAGTGTAAAAAATGTATAGTCAGGCTATTTTATGATATGTGACAACAGTGACAAGAGATTTAATTATGTTTATGTACCAGTTTTCTAATACCTGATTCTGGTTCTATTTTTCTTCCAACATGAAGATGTAATAATAACAATAAAAAATATTTATGTGGTGCTCATTTCTATATGAAGTATTTCATCAGGCTAAGGTTTTTTCAGTTGTCTGATACCATTAAATGATTCAACCACTACTGTGCTCTCTTTTCCTGTTATGTAAATACTTAATTCCTTTTATGTAGATATTTCTCATGCCAAACCTAACATGTCCTAAGGATTTCACTTAAAAAAAAAAAAGTCAGGCTTGACGAAAGTTGTCATGTTTGCTGGCTAGCATCTACATGCAAATGATTAATGATTTCTCTTTCCAAAGCTTGTCACAAGCTTTTCCCCTCCATCCACCACTTGGGTTTCTTGTAGTGTTGGGCTTCAGGATTTGACACCAGTGATGAAAGAAGGGATTTCAGGAATATCATTCTTCAGTTAGTGAGATTCTGACTCAGCCTGGTGTGCTTTTTCAGCAGATTAAGTAGATACTGGTTCCTGTCATGGCTACAGTCATAAAACTATAATCTCGAAACGTATCTGTGATTTAAGAGAAAAATTATTTTCTTAACTACTTTTTTTAGCTTTTGATATAGTAACTGTTTAACTGTGAGAAATGCATACTTTAATTCCAGATTGTAAGTGGTAATATTTGTCAATAATAGAGGTAAAATGTTTTTGCCATACAAGAAGGTACCAAGAGAGTTGTTTGTGCTAAGTCTGGATATCATTGTGTGATAGTGTGTTTTGGACGTTGATGTTAATAGAAAAAGTAAAGTATTTTGGAATGGCATGGAAAGCAGTCCTGGAACTATGGAAAGCTACAGTACATTACAGTACAGTACAGTACATACAGCACCTGGACTATAGTGGGGAACCCAGAAATACCAGAATGTTACTGCTTTTGAAATTATTTCTGTGGTCAAAATCAGTAACACTTGTGGAGACACTGCCAATAAGATTTTAGGACCAGGAGCAGAGAAATACGGTTATTTGTAATTTATTGGTTGGGAATTGGTCAAGGCTGCTTTGATGGAAGCCACTACTTAGGGCAATAAACGGATTAAATATGAATGAAAATTTCTCATTTCATATTCCTTTTTATTATTTTATTATTTTAATGAGCAAACATGCTTATAAATGGCAAACCCATTTATGTGGCTTGGATTGTTTGCCTAATCATGGCTTCTAGAAATGAGGTTGCAAGTGCCGTAATACTAAATGCCCATCATTTCTAGAATAAAATTCCACGTTGCGGAAGATATGTTTATCCGTTATGGCAATATGAGGCTGGCCAATAAAATCACAGTTGTTAGACTAATTTTTCTCTTTTGAAATTAGACGTGAAATACTGGATGTGCTGGGATTGTGC